TAGATTAAAAATAATAATAACATTTAACCATTGTACTAATAGAAATATAGAAAACAGTAAAAAAAAGAAAATGATAATTAAAAATTAAGAAATACCCCTAATTCGACTTTTAAAATTAAAAATACTGATACTGTTCCTAACTTCATCGGGTAAAGTGTTCCATTCATTAATGGCATTGTAAATAAAACGCTTTTGTCCCCAGGAGCGACGGGATGGAGGCTTACAAATGTTGTCTTTACTTCTCGTATTATACCCATGAATGTCTTTAAAACTACAAAAATTAAAATCCCAGTCAATTAAACCATTTAAGGCCTTAAAAATTAAAATCATGCAATGAAAACTTCTTCCAATGCTTTTAAACAAAATTTTACTTTGTTTTATTCAACCTCTGAACCTAAAGGTGTATCATTTACATTATGAATTTTTCAATGGAGAATTTTTGATAGGCACGATGTAACTTTATCTTTCAAGTGTCGCCCGTTTCCCGACTGCTGGTCAAGGGGAACAAAGACTCTGGGTACGAGGATGGGAAACCCGGGGAAGAGGTTATTTTTGCCCACATTGCATCAAGAACCTTTTTACTCAAGCTTTCACAAGGAACTTTTTTTGATCACAGTGACTAATTTTTTTTACTCTCACATAACATGATGGAGTATGCTTTTGTAAGGATTTGTTTGGGTTACAAATTAAAAGGTGCTTTTTCTTTTCTCTTCACATCCAAATTTTGTAGTTATACTTTAGTTTGTAGTTTGGCATCAGCTTTTTAGCTGCCATTTAATGACCTCCATGACAAATAAAGTATGTATGTAAATTGTTTTTTTAAGAGCTTTGATGGTTTCTGCTTTGTGAGGCTAACCAATATCAGATTGTGTTGTGTGTTATGTCATGAGTAAGTGAGAGCTAATTAATGTGATTGTAATGTATACAAGAACATTGAGTGCCTTAAAATGACACAGACGGTGTGTTTCTTTAAGAAAATCCAAGATTGGATACTTAAATCTGAAAGAATCTGAAAACGGATTTTGTGTTTCTTTACTACACAGATCAATCCAAGATCTCTCGGATCATGGTGCGTCAAAGGAACTGAAGAATCCACACTGGGAGTGGATTCTTCCGTTCCTTGGATGCACTATAATTCAAGAGATCTTGGATTGATCTGTGTAGTAAAGAAACGCAAGATCCGTTTTCGGATTCTTTTGGATTTAAGAATCCAATCTTGGATTTTCTTAAAGAAATGCACTCCGAGTTTGATATTTTTTGGGTCAGTAAGGGTTGTTTGCCAACCTGAAATAAAGGGCATGTGTTGGAAATAAAGGAATACGTGATTGTGTGAAGGTTGTTTTAATTTTTCATTTCGTTTTATTTATTTATTTCATTCTAAAATTACAAAGATAAATATGAAGTAGACAAGTAAGAGGAGAAATGGAAAAGGGCACAAATGTAGCAAGCTAATTAGATGCCCTTGTTTAATTGACAATAATAATTAGGGTAAAAAGTTAACTTAACATAGGAGAGGAAGAGGTATGAATTAATTAATACTGAGCAAAATAATACTGGAAGAGTGCTTTTTTAAAACGTTTTCTAGTCGCTAAGTTACGTATAGATAAAGGAAGGTCATTCTAATAGTAACATCCAATAACAGTGGGACAAAATTTCCTTATATTTATTCTGGAGAAAC